CAAATATCGCCAGAATAACGTGACGCAGACTTGCGGAGTACTTCCTGTCCACAACGCAAAGACGGCGATAGATGGTAGTCCAATAGTTCGGAGTATCCTGGTAAAAGTAATAGGTATCGCCTTCGGGGGAGGGTCCATATCCAAAACGATACGTAGGATGGGAATTGGAGTAAAGATGCAGAGCTAGGCTAATGAGGATCATACCTGTGGGGGGAGCGTGGAAGAAAGATGTAGCATGTATGAACTCCCGAGGTTGCCATTTGGCTTGAACAAGCAACAGGAAAATGATTTTAGTCTTTTATTTGGATGATATACGTTTATTCTGATTCGTGTGGCTGTAATACTGGATGTCAACGGAGATGGAGGGCTAAGGATGAAGATTGTGCTAAATGCTGTGGAGGTCTGTTCTGCTAAAAAATAATTCACACACAACTCACTGTCGTGTTTTCGTGGATTCTAATGGTGGTGCTCGAAAGGATAAGTAAATTCTGCACATGGGCAGCGGAAGCCCACATACCCATTAAGAAGTAATAGCTTGCAAATCTATTAGCTCTATAAAATAGGCTCTCTTAGCGTTCGATTAGTATTAACCATCTTGTTCTGTACGATGCTAAGATGCCGCTAATATCGGATCTGGCAAATTGGTTGAGTATTCTGAGTCCGAAATACCACCCCTGCATAGTAACAATGAAAACGCAGGCCAGCTATGAAGATTTGCATTCAAAGGACAACAACTGAAGAGCGTTTAAATCACCACTTGTATGGAACCTGACCAATGAGAAGTAGCCGGCTGATTTGGACATATTTTCTTGATGCAGATCGAAAATAAGTTCATATAACGGCCGTAAACGGGCTGCAAAACATGGAATTTCTTTTTATCTTTGAACTTCAGGTTATGTTCCTTGTAGGTGTTCGTTAAGACGGATAATCAGCTATTAGCGGAGGTTTAAAAATAAAGACGGGTAGGTTACAATGACAAATCTAAGAGCTAGGATTTTTACCCATGTCTCTAAGCCTGGGTCCCGTCGGCGCCATTCCGGGTATGAAAAGGAGTTGACGACAGCCTTCACTGGTCCCCGATCTTTCCTTTTTCTCCCCAACAAACCCTCCCCTTAAATATAGAATAAAAGCAAAAGTTTGAGATGGCCCATCTAGATCCTGCTGCGGTGCCAATAGTTGGTATGGTCACAACTTATATACACTTTTTGCATATGACTCGGTAAATAGGCATTGTACTCGGAAGCTCCCCATAGCTCTATACGAAAAAGGCAGATTCCCAGTGGAACAGATAGGAATGGCAAACCATTGATTGAACACCACCGTAACGTTATCAATCAGGTCCGCCCCTTGGAGCAAAAGGCCAATCAGTCGCTTAGGGCGTGCTGAATAGCGGGGACAGCAAAATAGATGAAAACCCGAATCGGATATCCCCTCTCAGTGGGCCTTCGAAGACCCGGATAGAAAGTGCACTGAAAACACTGACAGAAGAAATACGTTTTTCAACAAAACACTGACGCTCACTCTAGAGTGAAAAAGTTACCAGCAAGAGATGATACTTAATCTATAAATAGTAGGTTGGCTGTTTACAGTCCATGCCTTCGCTGCTCGTCAAAAACAGATCAAGCCAGTAGACTTAGGGCGATCTCTATTAGTCACTCATGAGTTTCGGAGGGGATTCCATGATGAGTTATCGTCTTTTCCGAAACAGCTCACGTAAAACTTGTATCCATTACTAACGCTTACATTTCTGGCAATGATGAGGAGCAGAGTAGGTTTAATTTGATTAGAAGCGGAAGCAGGGTAGAAGTGACATGGTGAGAAAGGAGATGAACGCCATTGTATTTGGGAACAAGTCTAGCAATAGTACCTGGTCACGAAGGGAAAGCAGAATTAAGGCAAGAAACATAAGCAGAGCTTTAGGAAAAGTAAACAGTACGATCCAGACTAATGTATGTAAAATGTGTTGAAGAGGTTATTCTACTCAGGATAACATCCGCAACTTTTTCCGCAACTGCAGAAAAAGAGGATAGTGTACTGACATTCCACACTACCAGAGATCCAACTGCAGCTCAAGAGTCTGACGAGGAAGGTTATGCGAAAACTGCAGCGGTAATATCACTAAGTACGGCTGGGCAATGACCTGACGAACCGGTTGACAATAATAAATTGCCAAGACAATATGACGTAGCGGATATAACCTACACAAAATGAAGTGCCCCCCATCCCCTATCGCCGTCTGCTACAGTCCTCAAGCAGTGTACATGAGGGAGGATTGAAGTCATTCACCATCAAATTAAACGATTATAGGACATCCTATTTCCGTAATACCACATGCTCGTCGTTGCCGAAACAACGTACTTTAAAACTTACATTCCTTAATTGCGCTTAAATTTCTGACAAAAATGAAAATGAGAGGGGTAGAATAACTTCAAGGAGAAACAGAAGTGAAACAAGGACGAAGGTCGAAATTGGCATGGGTACGAGAAGATAAGGTAAGAAAGAAGAGGGGCGCAAACGCAAACACAAGTCTATGAAATTTAGTGAAGGTCTTTTTCTATCCGCAATAACATCTGCGATTTTCATTGAATATCCTTTGTCTGCAGAGAAGATGTAAAAGTGCGACTGAAGAGGTAATGAAATGACATTGGACACTAGATCACCCCCCGTGAGCACAATATACATTTGCAAAAGGAGTTTTCCTTAACTGTACTAGAAACGAATCTGTATCGCTGCGTAGTTGTTAGCATGGCGGAGCTAGGCCGTCACGCTGTATAATCACTTCAAACCAGACCTTCACAGTTGTTCCTGAGCGAAAACAGCTTTCCAATCATACTTTTTGTCAGTAAGGACCACCACTAACACTTTAACGGAAATGTGAACAATTGATACGGGTGAGGTCTACCTGTTTTTGTATTTTTAAGTTCTTATTTGAGTCCACATATACGCAACGTACACGCAAAGGATATCTAAAGTATAACGCAGTTCCACAGTCGAACAAGTTTTTGAACGACGCAGTAGTGATACCCTTCCTCACCTCAGGTGTCCGAAAAGCTAGACGGTCACTATGCGGTGGGGGGCGGGGGGAGAGTGAGGTCGACACTCGGCGCGTTTCTCTCCTCACTATAATAAATCCGGATGCGCTTGAATCTATAAAAGTGCGCTAAAAGCCTTAGCTTGGAGGGTTTGCCAACTGACGGGAAAGCTCGGGCTCCCTACGTTGCTGCTCCTCTTGTACGCGTGTGTGTGCGTATAGGAGAAGAGGGAGGACTGATAGTTAGGCTGCAATGGTCCCCTCTTAAGGTGGCCTTTATGGCGCTTCCGCGGAGACGGGAGCATAGCTAGATCTAAGTATGCGCGTGTTGAGTGGTTACCGCGCCAGCCATCTACACCTTCCCTCATCCCCGGTCTTATTGACTTTGGTTTTGCACCGGATACGGAGGTGG